ACCCAGCTAGGCGGTAGTCGTAGTCAGCCTGGCCTCGACAGTTGGATGGCACAAATGGCAAATCCAGTTGGCGCCAAACAGTTACTAATGCCTCAACCAACTGTTCAGTAAGTAAATCTGTGTGATGCGGGGAAGGCGCAATGCGCAATCGTTCATCACCCTTCGCCACGGTAGGGTAGTTGATGGACTGCACATAAATGTTGTAAATGGAAAGAAGTTGCTGTGATATGCGGGTGCAGAGTTGCGGTTCTCCGACCTAAAATATGGTAAATACAATTAAAGCACATAGAAAGTGAGGTTGTTTACTAATTTTACCAAAGAATCTGTGATACTAGCTAGTGGCATAAACATTTGGCATTACTATAGTAAATTGCATTTGATTTTCGATTTAATGGGGTTTCCGATTGAAGTAAATTATGTAATGGAAGTAGCGCCTGGTTTTAAGGATTATTGTAAATTTGTGAAAATGAAAGTCCGCCAACGACTATTTTGCTTGAAACTTGGCCATATTCACAAGAGGAAGACAAGACAGTATTGCAAGAATATGGGGTAAGAGGACTGTGAATTTTGATTTTGTCAGCAAGTAAACTATCACGTTTATCACAGACTGATTTAGCCCAGTATGCTTATACTAAGCAGCGGAACCGAAGGGCTAACTAGTTGCATGATTAGCGAAAAAACAAGACCCTATATTTAGTGAAGTGGGTTAACCCCTTTGTCGCAACTTGATCCTGCTGTCAGGGTGACTTAGTAGAACGCACCTAGTCCTAAGTCGTCTGCCATAGTAATTGTCATGATTCTTAGCATCAGACAGTGGATTTGGTATATTCGCAAACGTTTCGCCGGCATCATCAGTGAGTTTTTCCATTCTCCGCGCCAACCTACGAACTCGTCAAAAAAACAATTAAAGTCAATCCCTCGAAAAACGTTCTGCCAAAAACGTTTCCCTCTCACCATATTATTCCACTGCCGTCCTATCACAACTTCTGATTTGTTTACATTCCACTCGTCAAAATGTGTGCCCTTTTGTGGCAAATCTAGCGTGGCCTCATCACACTTGGTATTCACCCCGACCCCCTCTGTTTCTATCGGCTGACGCGACTCGGGCCTCCAATCCGGATCCCCTCATTGTCTCGTAGATATGTTTATTTTTCTTTCTGGTTGACCGATTTCACTCGGTTCCAGTCCCTGTATGCATTTTACTCCAGGAGCTAGTTCTCAAGGCCCTAAAAGCACGTACACTGCCGCTTCACTAAGCAAAGCGCCTAAACTCTGATTCCCATGCTCGCAGATATCAGGCCTTCCCTTCACGGGTCCTCTTCTTGATTAAACCGATGTTATCTGAGCAAACTATGGACGCCTATCTCTCCACGCATGATGTAAATAGCCTCCCTAATATTCAGCTTCCTTGTTTGTCATTGTATGAGGCTCTTCTCTCTGTTGCATTCCAATTGATCTCGCGTCGAGTTTGTGCGATGTTCTCCGCTAGTTCTGATCCTTCGTTATCTGATTTTCTTACAGAGCCTCTTATGTTCCTTGATTCGTGTGCTAATTTTTCTCCATTTTTCGCCAATATATTTCTGTTCCAAGCGCCGCTTGGAACAATCCAATTTGTCTACCCTTTCATGTTACGTTAGTAGACTTGTGAAAAGTGTTGATTTCTCTTTCATTCCCATCTTAATATTCCATTTACTCAATATTGGCCGTAGTTTTTGAGTTAGTTCGCAGGAAGATAGCCTGTATGTGCCTTTGTGTCACTTCGTTTGGATAGCCATTGCCGATGAATATCTTTATCAATTTGTCCAGCTCCTCGTCCCAGAATTCTACATCCGTTAGGCTTAGGCTTTGGATGATCATGTTCCTTACTATTTCAATATTTAGCCTGTAATTGTGATGGGGCCGGAAATTGAGTATTATCCCTGCATAGGACTTTCTGAACAATTTCTTCTTCAGCGTTCCATTAGGACGAATCAATTCAACGTCTAGGAATGGTAACTGCTCACCTTCCTCTACTTCCATCCAGGTGCCGCATGAGCACTGCCGGTTGTAGCGGTGCCATCTTTAAGCTCCCTTCTATTTCTGTTTATGTATACGTCTGCCAAAAGTGGTGAGAGCGGCGATCCCATGGGAAGTCCAAATATTTGTTCATAGATGTTCCCATTGAATGCAAAATAGGTTGTCCTTATTGTCAAGTATATTAGTCTTGCTAATGACTTCCTCTTGATGCGTTGTGATTCCAGGATATTCTCCTTTCGGTCCAGGATTTCCAGCAGGCCCGTTGGCGCATTTTCTCCAGATATATTTGTATACATGGATTTCACATCGATTCTTACCAATAAGTCCGTTTCTTCCTGTGCCATGTATTTGATTTTTTGAGAAAATCCATATGAATGTTTGAGAATGTATCAAGTCCACTGTCTGATTCTGGGAATCATGACAACTACTATGGCAGACGACTTCGGACTAGGTGCGTTCTACTAAGGCCGCCCTGACAACAAGACCAAGTTGCGACAACGAGGTTAACCCACTTCTATAAATCAATAGGAGACTGCAACTACCAGAGGCCACAACATCTTGGTCTTCATATCTACTATATTTAATTTTTATTAATACGGCAAAGCTAAATTGAAATATACATTATTTTTTACAAGTCACGGAAAGTAACCCAATTGTTCCGAGAACGAGTTTTAATAATTGTGCCCAGTAATTATTCTTAATAAGGTATTACTCGAAAAAAATGTAATCAGTCCGTCAATATGATAAAGCAAGGGTCTATCACCTTAAGGATCGCGAAGTAAAAGTAAATCCGAATGAGATATGGTAAAACATTAAAAAATAATAATCAGAGAAATGAATAAATGATGCCAGCATCAAGGATGTTGTGCAAAAATTACATAACACTACGGGATGTCTTGAATGGAACCGCAAGCTTAATTAAATTGCAGCTCCTAAGAAGCTTTGTGCAATACTCAAAACCTTTAAGAAATAATGTGCGAGGACTTCAATGGTAGTCGTCAATTATGAGTTTGGATTTAGGGTGTGAGTATGTCTGTGATAGCCTAAAAGCAATAATCAAATATGCAAATTATCCGAAGCTCGAAGCCAGATATCTGCTGCATTAAAGTTTACATGCAAGTCAATATTGATAAACTCTATGGTGGTAGTTTTTCTCTAATTAGATCAATTTAATATAAAATCTCTTTTATTTATGAGCACGACTCCTAATGATGGAAACGATACTCAATGGTTAAGCTATTAATGTAAGGTATGTTGTCGGTTGATATATATGAAAAATCAGGTTATGTAAATATAGAAGTTGTTTAACCTCGTGTTCACAACTTGGCCATATTGGTAGAAAGAATTTGAGGAACGCAGCTGGTCTGGAGTCCATGTTAATTTCCAGAATCAGACCATGGACTCGGTACATATTCCGACGTTTCGCTGGCATCGTCAGTACGTATTGCCATTAGCACCACACTACAGCTCTTAAAAAGTCGATCATTTAACCAATTGTCTGCTAAACAATCGTGGTATCTCTCCTCCCCTATATCCTCGTGTCACCCCTTCACTATCACAATTTCTTATTCGCTTATTTAAATGTGGTTTGTTGTACCCTTTTGAGCGGATTTCCACACTTAGTGCTGGCTTTCTCACCCCTTCACCTGTGAACTGGAAATGTTGGTCAAAGTCTGCCATATTGCTATGGAGTCCTCCTCCCATAGGTCTTATCAGTCTCCCTCATGCCCGGTAGCATCCGTCTGCTATCTCCTTGGTTCAAGTATTTTACTCGACCCCTGCCACCCTATCTGTGCTACTCGAGGCGTGATTTCTCACATTCTGTCTCTGGGAGACTAAATTAAGGCAAAAGACCTCGAGCAATTCTCAAGCCTTTGCTTCATATACCACGTCTATTATCAAACACGTATAT